AGACGGGGTTAAACTAAACCTTGCAGAGATCCAGTTGCTATGAGTAAAAATCACCCAGTCTTTAACAACCTGGTCGCATACGCTGGATATAGACAACGGTGTCTGAAAAAATAATTACGAAATTACGCTGCTCTAGACACACCCAAAAAAAGTTTCCAGACCGGAAAAAAAAAAAAAAAAAAAAAAAAGAAGAAGAAAAAAAAAAAGCCCCAAAAATCTCAGTAGAAGTGTAGAAGTGACCGGTGTTAACTGAGGCTGCTGATCCTTCAGCTTCGGTTTGACAGGCAGATCACGTCCATTCTCTCCACAGGTTTCCCAAAATCTCGCTTTTAGAACCATTCTGTGGGCTTGACCGCACGGAGAGCGATCTGGGGGAGTGGAGGGGACTCCGCCGCCCGCTCTCGCACCGCTCCGGGGCTGCCCAAGCCCTCTGGAAGCGTTTGAGAGAAGGGCAAGGGCAGGTCAGCTGGTCCTGGGGCTGCCTCGCAGAGCCCGGGGAGCGCAGCCCGGGAGAAACAGCGGGGCTCCCGCAGAACTCCCAAGAAAACAGCCGAGGAAGAGAGCGGGATGCCGGAGTCCCTCCCGCTCTGCTGGAAGTGCAGACGCACCGTGTCAACCATAGCACAGCTAAAACGCTTCTCACCCCCTCTTTCCTCACACCCCTCTCCTCCTCAGCTATATCTGGGGGTGTTATTGTTAAGATTGTTTTCTGTTGGGTTCTGGTTGTTTTCAGGGTTTTTTTTCTTCTTCCTCTTACTTTTTCTTTCAAGCACAAACGTCTTCTCTCCCCTGCCCTTGACATCTGGGGCTTGTGAGCAAGCAGAGCTCTGAAGTGGAGGTTACCACCTCTCTCTTTCCGTGACACCAGGGGGAATTTTATGGGTTCTTTGAAAAATAAAAAATCAGGCAGGCGAAGGCGTTGACTTTATTTGGTGGTGGTTGGCAGCACCCGCCGAACTCAGAGCCGGAGGTGGCTGCGCGACCGTGGCTCATCCCCACGGTGAGGCAGCAGGGACGTACCTCCGTGTCCATCAGCAAACCCAGCTGGTGGGAAACTGGTGTGGCTTGGGGAAGTGCCACCACCCACCGAGAAACAACTCTTCCCCGACACCCAACATCAGAGGCAGCGTTTTCTTGCCCCCCTCCCTGCTTAGGGTCACGGGGAGATGCTTTCAATCGCTGTCTCCACATTTTGCTGGTTTCTTAAGAAGGGAGACCGAACTGTCATTGTTGCAGGAAACTCACAGCTGCTAAAAGTTGTCGGTAAAGAGCATCGAATCAACTAACTCCCCACCACCCCTGTGAAATTTTCTTTACAAAAAACAAAGGAAAGGAAATTCGATTTTTCTGTCTCATTATTAAACGCAGTGAGTTGCCGTACTTGGCGCATAAAATCCTCCAAAAAAGTTTGTATAAATACACCAGTAATAATGACAATGATATCAGGAGCAGCGCTCGGAGAGGTGCGCAAACACCGTAAACGCCTGACCGGAAAATCCAGGCGTTTAGCACTGTTTTGTCGTTTCAGTTCTCCTGCTGATGGCAACGGAGTGTCGACAAACAAGAAGTGAGAAGTGAGGGGGAGCGGCGGGGGGCAAGGCAGAGGCGGCCAGCGCTGCTTTCCAAAGGCGGAGTTTTCTGAGGTCATTTCATCTCGACTCTTTCGTCATTCTGACCATCAAAGAAAGCTGACTGGATGATTTTCCCAGTCCCTCGCCTGGCCGGGGTGATGCGGTACCTTGGCGCACAGATTACTTTAATTAAGATGTTAAAATACTCTGAATTCTTCCCATAGCGCTGACTGTGCGTTTAATAAACGGTCAGTGTAACCGTCCAAGCTCGCTGCAAACTGGATTAAACTATGAGGCTTGACAGTGTGAACATCTGGAGCTTAATCGCTGCTACTTTTATATTACATTACAGAAGAAATATGGAAAGTTGTTTAGTAAGCTTTTGACTGGAACTTCAGAGTTTCCCTCTCTATCGTAAAAGCAAAGCAATGTACAACATGTAGTAACTTTCCCCGATAAGGCATCTATTGTCCAGTGCAGGAAACAATCGTTATCCCTTCAGAAAATAAAGTATAGCTCTTAAAAACTTGGGGGAAAGACCTTGTCTTCCGCTTAAACCAGCACTGAGGCAGGCAGTCTGCTCGATCCGCAAACCTGGGAGAGGAGGGAGAGAAAAAAAAAAAAAAAAAAAAAAAAAGAGGCAGCGGAGGCATTCCTGACGGCAGAAGTGAAACCGTCTCGATCCAGGCGAGTTTGTTTGTAAACCCGGGAAGCAGCAGCGAGCCCGGGCGGCGGCGGGGGGGGCGGCTCCGCCCGCGGGGTGCGCGGCGGCGGCGGCGGGACCCGCCGGGGCTAGGGCTGCAGCTGCTGACTCAGAACAGCAATGTAGGTCATAACGAGTTTCCTTAAGTTACCTAAGTTCCAACAATTCAGCTTTTCTTTAGAGACTTCCAAAGTGCTGTTGCAACATTTCTGAACGCCGTGACTTTTGCTGAAGCTCAGCCGCCGGCTCCGAGCCACCGGGCTGCGGTGGGGCAGCGCCCGGGGCGGGCATACCCGCTTCGGCATTCACGCCTTTCACATCTCGCTTTTCTCATATCTCGCTCATTTCCACCACAACCCTATTTTTTCTTCTTTTTACTCTTTTCTCTCAGAGTGCTTAAAAAAAAAAAAAAAAAAAAGTGCCAACGCGTCGCACTTCCATTTTCTTCTAAATTTTCAGAACAGAAGCAAGCTAATTGACTACCTACTCTCTACTTAGTTCAGTTCTTTCCAGGAAGGCTTATTCACGGTTCACAGTATGAGTCTATTCTTTTATTACCATTATTTACTACTTTCCACCACCAGTCAATTTTTACACCATCAGTTAAAAGGCTATTAAAAGAGCTTAATTTTGCCACGAGTTTTGTATGCAAAAGACGGATCCGTCTTTTGAGTGACACTCAACACTGTACGTCTTTGAAATAGGTAATTTTCGTTATTTTTTTTATTATTTCCTTTTTTCTCTCTGTCTCTGTTTTGGTTTGTTGTTTTGTTGTTTTGTTTTGTGGGGGTTTTTTTCCCCAACCACCAGAGAGGGGAAAGAATAACCGCAGTCCCCACGGAGAGCCCACAGATGATGAGCAAGCGTCGTGTTCAGTCGCAAGAGCAGCGAAGTGGGACGGAGATCTGGTGACGAAGTTGTAGAGGACAGGTAAGCCCGGCACCAAGGGACACTTCAATAGAGTAACCGCACTAAAGGAATTTATTTTATTCACTCGGAGCTTTCCTCAGGCATTACCTGCGCTTCCCGCTCCTCAGGGACCTCCCGAGCAAGCAGGGGCCGTGCGTGGGCTGGGGCGGGGCGGGAAGGGGAGATTTCCGAGGGACTCGCACTCTCCCCCAGAAAATCATCATCGCGAAGGCATCCGTTGTCCCGAAGTATAAGAGGGGAACTCATCCACCCACAGACCTCACGAAAACAAGGAGCAGGGGAAAAAAATCCAAACCTCGCCCGATCCGACGGCTGTATTTCTCCTGGGTGCACGCATCACCCACGAGTCCATCACGGGTGCTTTTAGGGCGATCACACAACCAGTGTCACGGTCACGCATGCCTCCAGCCTTCCTCCTTCCCTCCAGCTCCTCTCTAACCCCGCAGTGACACCCCACTGGCCTGGGTGCTAGCAAGGGAGGATTTCCCCATCTAAACACGGAAGGATTTACCAACCGAGCAGGAATCCCGTGGATGTTTCCCCGAGCATGTTGCAAGTAGCAGCACCAGCAGACCCACGGAGCCCCGAGGCCGGAGCCGGGAGCGCTCGGCAAGTTCGGGCAAGCCCGTTCCCGGCCTCCGCCCGCCCGGGGCACGGCGGCTCTGCCTCCTGGGGCGGAAAGGACGAGCCCTCGCACTCCAAGAGAAAAAAAAAAAAAAAAAAAAAAAAAAAAAAAAAAAAAAAAAAAAAAAAAAAAAAAAAAAAGTTGAAAGGGAAAAGAAAAAGAACATTCCCCCCCTCCCCCCAGGTTTGCTACCCTGCGCCGTCCCCGCCAGCGGAAAGTTCCCCCCGTACCGCAGCACTCGAGGGCGGTGGCCGAGGTGACCGTGAGCGCTCAGGACCGGGAGGGAAACGAGGGGTCGGCAAAGCTCGGCACCCCTTTGGGAACACGTTCCCCCAGCCTTGGAGGCAGTGGAAGGCCCTCCTCTAGTGTTTGCAGTTTTCTTTGTTTACATTCAATTTAGAAATACTGGCCTTCGGCCAGCAAAGCGATGGTTCCCTTCCTCCCTCTCCCGCTCCTTCTCCGGTGGCGGAGAAGAGACTTCTGAGTTTCACGACCCCCAAGTTTTAAAATGTTTTCCTCTCGGCTCCCCAGATTAACCCTTTGGGGCCGCACCGTAGAGAAAACGGAGCCGGGCCGTGCGTGCACCTGCCCTCCGGAGCTCCAAGCCGAGGGAGTTCGCAACAGGTTCTGCCGGGAGATGGAGATGGAGGGTACCGGCGAGCAGGCGAGCACCGAACCGAGCGGCGGGGCCCTCGCCGTGGCCGCTCCGCCCGGCTCGGTGCTCCTCGCCTCGCCGCCCGCGGGGCGGTGCTGTGCGGCGGCAGCCGGGCGGGGAAGCGCCGCGGTTCTCCCGCCGCCGCTGCCGCTGCTGCGCCGCCCGGTTCCCCCCGTGGTCGCGGCGGCGGAGGCAGCGGTGCCGGGTGGGGAAGAGCCCTGAAGTCGCTTGTACTCGCTGGGCTTGTATGTCCCCCCGCTGCCCCGCCCCGCCCCTCCACCCCGATATCTTCCCCCCACCAGCCCTCGGCGAGGAGTTAAGTGCCACCGCTCCGCCTTCTCCTTTTCGCAATGTTGACGCAATCTATAAATAGTGGAACAAAAGGACCAACTTCCTCGCAGCTTTGCTGAAACTGCACAAAAAAGGCAACCGGGGGGAACACACGGTTATTTTTGATTTTATTTTCTCCGGTTAAAGGCGAATCCTCCCCTCCTTCCTCCCTCCCCTCCCCCGCTACTGGAAGATTTTTTTTTTTTTTTCCCTCGCTGTCTCCTATGCTGGCAACGTCCTGCGAGTGGCTGTTTTGCTTTCGCACTGAGAGAAGAGCTTTCCCCCTCACCCTCTCTGCTGACAGTAAGTGCCATTTAGCGACCGCCTTTTCGGGGGTTTGGGGGCTGCCTGCTCGCCTACCTGCCTGCTGCTCCAGAGAGCGGGCAGCAGGGACCGGGAGCTCCAGGAAGGGGGGGAGGTTCGGAGGCGCTTAGTGCGGCGAGGGGACAGCGCCACGGAGCGAGTGGGGATGCGCGCAGTGGGGACGGGGCGTGGGGGCCCCGCGGATTTGACCGGGGAGGGCGACTGGTGAAATAAGGTGATCGGGAGAGGGGACGGCTGCCGCTGCCCGCCGAACAAAAGCTGACGCTGATATTAAACGGGCTTTTGTTAAGGGGAAGTGTGTGTGCGTGCGTGTATGCGGGGGGGGGACACCCCGCCCGCTGCAAGTTGCCGTGCGGCGGGAGGGCACCTTAGACTTGTTTACCGCTCGGCGCGGCGCTCACTGGTGTGTTTACCCTTCATACACGGCGCGGGGCTCCCCTCCTCCCCCACAACCCCATCCCTCCTCCGTGCCCCGCGGAGGGGAGGGATGAGCGGAGCGGGGTTTAAAGAGGGGGGCGGGGGGGTGCGCGGTCAGGAGATGTTGATACGATCACGCGTAAAACAACCACCCCCCTCCGGTTTGCAAGTAGGATCGGTGCAAGCGCAGGCAGTCACTGGCCGGAGGGAGAATTACATCATCCCCTGCTCCAGTGATGCTACCTTTCGTGCCGCTACCATGCGCGCAGGGAAACAACTGGGGGCGCGACTCACACCCACCCCACCCCCCCCCGCGCCGGCTCGGTGCCACACTGGGGTGGGGGGGGATCGAGGGGTGGGGAGGCGCTCCCCCGCGTCATTCACACACACACACACACACACACACACACACGCCCGCCCGAGTGTTTACAGCGCTCACACAGCCGTATTGTGACGTCGCCTGAGTGACAGCCCGCCGCGCCAACGGGGGGGGGGCGCGGCCCCCCGACGCCGCGGCAGAACAGGGGCGCCCCGCCCGCTCCTACCCCCGCTCCGCGCCCCGCGGGCACCGCGGCCGTGCGCGGCACCCCGGGGGGGAGGGGGGAGGCGGGCAGAGCCCCGTCGAGCCCGACACTAAACACTTTAAAAGTTAAATCCAACTCACACGCCCCAGCACCAGCGTGGTTTACACGATGCCGATTAGTTTGCGTTTATGACGGTTTATGACGTTTTAAGAGGTTACTGTACACTCGAGAAGTGGTCTCTCGTGGGAGAGACGAGGTGTGTTTGTAAGCGTGGTGTGTCTGAGAAGTTACACCGCTGACTTGAGTCCGGGACACCCCTCTGAGAGCGAACCGGGACGGGGGGCCCGTCTCTTGCCGGGAAACATGCTCCTCAAGTGACTTTGGCACAGGGAAATCGTCGGCGTAGAAGCTGTCATATTGATGGCCCTGGACACTCCATTGTCCAGACTGGATAATAAAATTTTTTGTTGTTGTTGTTTTTGTTTAAAGGGATATACAGATTTAAGCACCGAGGACAAAACCTAAATTCCACACATCGTATGCTTTCCCCAGCGTTACAAGTGTAATGTTATAGGGCTAGAAACTTGTTGCAATGTGCTACTGTGTTGGGAAAAAGTGTCTGTAGGGTTTACTCAGTTTGTGAAAATATTGAAAGCAGTACTTACCCACTGTAAAGTCAATAAAATTGTATCACACTAAAAACAGCAGAAAGTGCTTTACAAACTGGTGTTTCTCAAGAATTGTCTGCCAGAATGCAGCAGTGTAAAAATTATTAATAAAACATTAGCCTTTACTTGTTGCAAAATTCAAGTAACCATGAAGCCCTGTTTAATAGTACACACAGTTTTTAATGTGTTAATGGTTTGGGTTTCTTCAAAGCGTACTACTTTTTGAAGTCTGGGTGTTTCTATTTGTGCAGAAAATAGACTCAGAAGCTTTGAGCTCCTACTGTTACAAAAGTTAAAAGGAAACAAAGTTGAGCTGCTAAGTCGGCAGTCTGGAATGAGTCAATAGTATCTCCTTTGTCCTGCTAGCTTTCTCTGCTGTGGTGTATCTTTGCTCTATTTCCTCTGCACAAGCAAATGAGGATTTCTACCCTCAGCATATTTAATAGCCTTTATAGAACTCCTGGCTTCTAAATATTCTTACCTTCCAGTAATATTCATTCAAATGTCTGCCTTTCCCAGCTGTATACAACAGTCGTGATACCATCAGTGACAGTATGCTCACTTCTTTAACCACGTAGATACTGCCACATTTTCCATTATCTATAATTAATGGAGCAAATTATTCTTGCTTTATTGTAGTAAGCCTTCATATAAGAAGTGATTATGCCTTTTTAAAGTATTTTATCATCTTGGTTTTATGTATTTTTTTTTAAAAGTTTGGGCCGGAGACATGGAGATGTAGATAACTCCCCTCCCCCGCCTCTTACTTGGGGATTCCCTGGAAGTCTCAAAGGGCAAGGAGGTAACATAGCTGGCTTTTACAACAGGATGACAGGTCCTGACACAGGGTCACAGAGAATCTATGCTTGGCTAGCCCTGTGCTCCAGTTTTGTTTAGCTGGTAGCTAGTCCCTTGAGGGATCAGTGTCAGCTTAAGCATGCTAACTTCTACAGGCAAGGGGTTGGCCAGTGCCCGAGAGCTGTGCCTGGCTCCTGCAGGCTCCCTACTTCTGCTGCACTTGGACCTTGAACCTGTTGCTGCCAGGCTGCCTTTGTGGCTCTGGAGCTTGTCACAGACAGAAATCAAAGTAGCATCAGTAGAAAGCAAGCCCCAACACTGCCTGTTTTCTGAAAACAAAAGGTGGGTAGATGTACTAGGTGGATTGACAAAGCAGTTTGGGCAGGGATGCGGCTTAATTGACTGAGGCACAGAAACTGGAGCCAACTCTCATCACCATGAGCTAAGTTTCTGTGTGCTTCAAACCCACTTTGCCCTCAAATTCTGGCCTTGAATTGATATTAGTTGTTCCACAGATCTGTCACACTCCCAGAGATGATAAACAAATGTCAATTCAACATCCCACATGTAAAAGTATTAGTGTTCAGCAATTAAAATATCAGTATACTTTCTCTGTATTACATATCTTAAATTAACCTATTAAGGATCAAGGTATGTATATATATATGTGTGTGTGTATAAATCTATGCACACATTCATACACACCTTCTCATATTGATAACTCTTTCTAATTTAACTATCAAAAAGCATTGGAGATTAGATCTGGGATGCTAGAGTTCAAAGAAAAGTGAATTTGTATTAACTCACTGGGAAGTTGAAACCTGTATGTTAATATATACAGTATGTAGTTTTTCTTTAATTTTATGTTACAGTATGGAAGCTTTTTAGGTCTGCAAGATCAAGACAATATTTTTTTGTTTGTTTATAAAAGTAAGACTTGCTTATGATTAATTTATCTAAGTATGCTTTTCTTTTGATACTTGAAGTACATAAATGAGTAATTTAGCACATGATTATCTGAATGACCATTCCTTTCCTCTTTCACACATGAAAAAGATTATCAGTCAGCTCCTGCTGTAGTATTGTATCTGTGACCACTCTGACTGTACCCTTTTGTGTCTGATACTTTTTAATTTTTTTTGCAACCTAATGTTGCAGTATGCTTTTGGTGTATAAGTCTGTACTTCACCCACATGTTCTTTTAAAAAAATGCAGCCCCATAATTCCCAATGATAACAAGCAGTTTTCTCTGGTGACCATAAGGGCCTGCCTGTGCTACAGATTTCTACAGCTTTCATTTAAAACTCTAAACACATTTATATCTTTTCATTTGTGAAGGGTGTTACTAACTTGCATTTGGAAATTTGACTGATTCAGACAGCATAGTTTTCCTGGTTCTGCAAGCAGGCAGTTCCAGTGTTTCAGCTTTTGCACAGTAGCACTTTAACAAGCAGCAGCCATGCATAACTAACAAGACTGCAAGTCCAGTTACTGCTTTTTAGAAGCTCCTACCCAGCTCTTACGTTATCCAAAGTGTCCATTTTATGTTGTTGCAGCCATATGACAATACTATTAACAGCAGGAAAGTGCAGTAGTTATTTACAATGAATAAGATACCAGGGGGAGGAAAAAAGTTTAAAAAAATGGAGCCTGAGGCACAGGAAGAAAGCAGCAGAGTTCCAGCTATCCTTTTATAGTAACTGGTGTTTTATGGAAAGTGGTTAAGAAAAGAAAACTCTCTCTTCCTTTCCAGCAGTTAGCCAGTGATGGCATGATCCTTCTAGCTGAAGACTGATCACATTCTTGGATAAACCTTTATGCAGGTTTCATTTTTAGTTATTTGGAAATGAGCAGTATTACTTTCCTCACTCTCTTCTCTTAAACCTACTTCTGGATTCTGAGTCTAATCCTCTAGCTATATTGACAGATGTGTAATAGAACAGTTTCAAATTGGGCAATAATGGTTCATAAAAATCAATATATATTTACGAATATTTTTAAGCACTATAGTAGTTTTCATTCATATTTCTACATGTACAGCTAACATTCTGAGTAAGTATAGATATTGTCTAAGCAGGGTATTACTACAAAATGTGTACCCAATATACACTTAGCATGGATGATGAAAGTGCTCTCAGAATGGATTACAGGTACAAACAAATATTTTTTAAAACGGGAATGGAAATTAGGAAATCAGTAGTAGCTCATCAGATGAGAAATATGCCTTTAGACTGCATGAAGAAGTAAAAAATAAATATGCTGAAAACTAGGCAACACTAGCTACCGAAACAGAATATTGAGACCACTGTACTTTTTCAGGACTCCTAGTATCCTCATTTCTGGCTGAATGTGGTATTTGCATCAAAATCCTTTCTTATAAAACAGTAAATTTCACAAAGATTCCACTGTATGACAGTGTACTGATTGGTTGTCACAACTACTGACTAAATATTAATTTTGGTAGTCTTTCCAAGTTAAATCTATAAACTCCTATATCTGGATAACTTTTAAAACCCTACCCAAAAGTGAAACTCTCAACAAAACAATTTCCTGACTTGTACATTGTCCATCC